CCCAACCGCTGGGTCAAAGCAACCCAACCGCTGGGTCAAAACAACCCAACCGCTGGGTCAAAGCATCCCAACCGCTGGGTCAAAGCAACCCAACCGCTGGGTCAAAACAACCCAACCGCTGGGTCAAAGCATCCCAACCGCTGGGTCAAAGCAACCCAACCGCTGGGTCAAAACAACCCAACCGCTGGGTCAAAACAACCCAACCGCTGGGTCAAAGCAACCCAACCACTGGATCAAAGCAACCCAACCGCTGGGTCAAAACATTGTAAAATGTACTGCAGTAATCTTCAAAAAATATTTTTTACAGTGTAGTTTTTATTTTTATATTTTCCATTCTCATATTAATTTAAAGTTTTAGTAATTTTGTTGTGTTTTTGCCATTTTTCCTTTTTTTTTCTTTTTACATATATAAAAAACTAAAGTTGTATTTTCTACAGTAATAATCTTCAAAAAATATTTTTACAGTTTTTATTTTTACATTTTCCATTCTCGTATTAATTTAAGTTAATTAAAGTTTTAGTAATTTTGTTGTGTTTTTGCCCTTTTTATTACTTTTTGTTCTTTTTACATTTAGTTTGGCATTTTTCCACAGCGTACGTCACAGTCCTGCCCTCCTCTCACCTTGTGCGTGAGCGCGTGCTGCTTGAGATGGTGCGACTGGACGAACTCCATCCCGCACTCGCTGCAGATGAACGGCCGGATGTCCTTGTGCTTCATCATGTGGTTCTGCAGCTGGCTGGGATACTGGAAGCTCTTGCCGCATTCGCCGCAGTCGTACTGCATGGGGCCCCGGTGCGCGGTCAGGTGGCGCTTGAGCTGCGCCAGCGTGGGGAAGTCGAGTCCGCACTCCACGCACACGTTCTCCTGGCCTCTCTCGTGCTTGAGCTCATGTGCGCGGAGCTCGCTGGGATACGCAAAGCCCCGGCCGCAGACGCCGCAGCTGTAGGGCTTGACCTCGCTGTGCTGCATCATGTGTCTCTTCAGGTGGCTGGTCTGCGTGAAGGCTTTGTGGCACACCTGTAGGCAGGGTTGGGCAAATATACATCAAAATGTATTTTAAAATAAAATACCAAATACCTTAACTCTCTCCCCGCCAGCGCTTTTGCAGATTTTCACTAAAATTTCAAGGCCCCCAGAATATATTGTTGCATGAGTATCTGAACATGCAATACATCAAAATAAAGATCAGGGCCCGTATTCACAAAACATTGCATCTTACCACTAAGAGTTCTCCTAAATAGCAGTAAAAAAGAGTTTTCTCTTTAAACCTATTCACAAAGCTGCAAACTTGTACTAAGCAATAGAGAGAAGTCTTAAGCTGAGAGTAAGGGGGCGGGGCTGAGCTCGTTGCTATGCATGATGTCATCAAGCTTATTAACTATGCACACAGTGATTGGCTGATAGTCTCTGTCAGAGATTCATTCATAGAAATATTGTAGAGTGCAATATTATGTGGCCATATTCAAATAAAGGTTTAAAAATAAAAATGTTGCCACATTCAAATATTTTAAAATGCAGACTAAGTGCCGCTAATTAAGTACTGTATATGTTCAGCTAATTGTCAGCTTCTTACATGCTTCTCGGAAACAATTAGTGGATATGCATCTAAACAGCCTTTTAATTAACAGAGCAGAATAATCATGGCTGATAGGAAGACGTGCAAACGTAAAAGAAAAGCAAGCAGCTGTTACTTCTTGCCCAGCTGGTTAATGAAAACAAGGATATCATTTAGAGTCGGGATAACCTCCAAAACCAAAGGCGATACCTTTATTAAAGCTCGTTATCAAATGTTTCTAAAATGTTAGATTGCCGGAAACAGCTATTTTAGGAGAGCTTGTGGTTTAGGACTCTCTTCACTGCTCCTAACCTTTCACAGATTTAGGAGCTAGTTTTAGAGCTAAAACACTTTGTGAAACACTCTTAGAGCGAACATTTAGGACTGACACGCACATTATTTTTAAGATTTTCTCCTAAATCGGCGAGTTACGAGCTACTTTTAGCATTAATCTAAAGTGTTTATCAACACTTGAATGCAGGTAGGTTTCATTAAAAAAAAGGCAAAATTTTGAGCAAAAAGCTGAGAAAATCGCATTTTTATCAAATACTACATCTGGATCATATTCAGTAATATTATCAAAGCAAAGATACAGTAGATGGCTTCCATCAGCACTCCCAAAGCTTGCACAGGCCTTTAACACTTTCTGGATTGACATTTCACTCGCTAACATTCGGCAGTTTTCATTTATATGCGGTTAGTGTTGTTGAACGCATTACTTTTCATATGCATATGCACAAGGGCATAGTTTTGGTGTGAACTGTTTTAGAGTCCCGCGTCATGCTCACACATAAGGGTTATTTATTTGTTTGTTTGCTTATATATTTATTTTTGTGAAATGGTCTTTTGTGCTATCATCTATGCAAAGTTGGTGCAACAAAGTAACATCATAGTTAATAATTACTTGTTTAAATAGGATATATATATACAACTATTTGAATATCTGGAATCTGAGGGTGCAAAAAAAATCTAAATATTGAGAAAATCATCTTTAAAGTTGTTCAAATGAAGTTCTTAGCAATGCATATTACTAATCAAACATTAAGTTTTGATACATTTATGGTAAGACATTTACTAAATATCTTCATGGAACATGATCTTAACTTAATATCCTAATCCTTTTTGGCATAAAAGAAAAATTTATAATTTTGACCCATACAATGTATTGTTGGCTATTGCTACAAATATAAATCAAAAGCGATTGACATGCGCATCTCGCCGGTTCTGTGATCAGCAGTAAATCTCCATCACGTGCTTTCAGATGGAGCAGCGTTTACTACACAGAGCCGTAGTTCACTGACAAGCTATGCAAAACAAATCGCAGACGATATAATCGCGCGATTATGAAATTGAAGATATCGTTCTGCGATTATGAAAGCTGTTTGCATGGCTTGTCAGTGAACTACGGCTCTGTGTAGTAAACGCTGCTCCATCTGAAAGCACGTGAAAACACCACATTTAATAACATGTTTTTACTCTAAACTCATAACATCAGTCGAGTGTTTGAAATAAATCCTTCTGTGAGATGATGTGGCTTCTTACACAGAATAAGGCACGCAACACATTTCATGGCATTCTAAGCAGTGATAAAGACACTGCATTATAAATATGCTTTATTATAATGAGAAGAACTCAGATAAGCCATATATTGTTGTAGTTGTGTGCTTATTAGTCACGTGGAAGCTGTTCTGTTTATCTTCTGTTTATTCAGCAACCGCTATTTCCTGGGTTTCTTCTGCGGGGTGTTTTTAACGTTTCTCTGGCCTTCGGATGGAGATTTACTTCTGATCACAGAACCGTGCAAGATGCGCATGACAATCGCAGCTTTTGCCTAATCGTGATTGCGATTTCATTTCGATTTATCGTGGAGCCCTAACTGATTTTGTGCTCCAGGGTCACATATGGTATTACCGGCATATATGTCTACACACCTGGCACTTGTGCGGCCGTGTGCCCTGGTGCGTCAGCATGTGTGTGTGCAGGTGGCTCAGCTGCTTGAAGGGTTTCCCGCAGAGGTTGCATTCGTGCGGCTTGATGCCGCTGTGGCCCAGGATGTGCGTGATCAGGTTGTATTTGGACGTGTAGGATTTCTCGCACATGCGGCACTTCCAGCGCTTCTGATCACTGCCCACATTCACATAGTAGCTTTCATCCACGTGCACGTTCAGCTTTTCCGGTTTGCTGGCTTCTTGGCTCCTGCGGCGAAACCGTGTGGCTTCGGTGGGGTAGAAGGGGTTTGGAGAGAGATGGAGGAACGGGAATGGGACCAGACTGGGATGGAAAGAAGGAAAGTAGGGAGCAGGAGAGCGCAGGAGTAATGGAGGCGACGGAGGCCACAGTGGCAGAGGCTTCAACGTCTCCTGCTTCACCTGGATCACGCGATGGAGACGCAGCCGGTTCAGGTCGATCATATCTGGGACGAATCGGTGTGGCTGAGGCACGACGGGGCGAGGGAGAGGATAGGGGAGAAGAGAAAGGTCGACGCTTCTGCTGGAGAAGTCCTCTGGACGCTTGCGTTCGCTCTCGGTCGGATCCATGCTGGAGGTTTCTACACGATCAGATCACGGAGTGTGAGAATCGTCCATCACCTGCCTGCGAAAACATGTCGAATGAGTTACTGCATTCATGCATTTAGCAGATGCTTTTATGCAAAGTAATTTGCATTGCATTCATGTTTGATCAGTTCAGGGCCGTAACCACTAGGGCTGTCAAAATGACTGAAAAACTAAATTAGAATTTTCTACTTAAATATGATCAAAATTCTAATTATATTCGAATTTAAAAGGCATAATTTCAGTTAGGGGAAAAAAAGCTTTTGGCTTCTCTCCTGAGGCCACAAGAGGGCGCATCGCGCAAAATATTATGCACGTTTCTTCAAAGCGTAATAAAATAACACGACTATCTTTGAAAAAAAAGTGCATAATGTTTAAAATAATGTTTATAAACCATATATAATTAATAAAGTTGCTTAAACAATTAGAAAAAAAACCCAGCACCATGCATGTATGTATAGTTTAATACAAAGGACCGAAAGACAATCACAAAGAGTAGGCTACTTTCTTCATTTAAAACATGAGATGCAGTGGGATGCGGAAAAACCGCCATAACGTCTTTAGACATGTTTTTAAAAAGTTGAACTTACATTAATTTGACATGGCTTTCTAAACATGCCGCTCTCTTGTGCGAGACGCGAGTGCAACGGTGATAGATGTCCCTCTAGAAAATGTGATAAATATGCGTTCTGTGTGAATGGCTTGGTTTCAGTTTTGACGTAAACAACATCTTCTCCACACTGACGCTCTCGTTTTCCGCAATATACTGAATGAACAACGTAGCAGCGCCGCATCTAGTGGCTTCAACTGGATAGACTAACAAAAGCATTCAAATGCAATGACACTTTCATCGTCATCACATTTCGTGCGCCACTGATAGGCTGCCTGACGGCTGACGCAGACCTAAAATTGTGGATTTTTTTTTTTTAATTCGACGAATATTCGAAATGTTTTTTTGACAGCCCTAGTAACCACCATAGACATTGAGGGGGACAAGTCCCCCCCCCCCAACAAGTAGAAATGGCCAAGCTCGCCACATCTGGATCATATTCAGTAATATTATCAAAGCAAAGATACAGTAGATGGCTTCCATCAGCACTCCCAAAGCTTGCACAGGCCTTTAACACTTTCTGGATTGACATTTCACTCGCTAACATTCGGCAGTTTTCATTTATATGCGGTTAGTGTTGTTGAACGCATTACTTTTCATATGCATATGCACAAGGGCATAGTTTTGGTGTGAACTGTTTTAGAGTCCCGCGTCATGCTCACACATAAGGGTTATTTATTTGTTTGTTTGCTTATATATTTATTTTTGTGAAATGGTCTTTTGTGCTATCATCTATGCAAAGTTGGTGCAACAAAGTAACATCATAGTTAATAATTACTTGTTTAAATAGGATATATATATACAACTATTTGAATATCTGGAATCTGAGGGTGCAAAAAAAATCTAAATATTGAGAAAATCATCTTTAAAGTTGTTCAAATGAAGTTCTTAGCAATGCATATTACTAATCAAACATTAAGTTTTGATACATTTATGGTAAGACATTTACTAAATATCTTCATGGAACATGATCTTAACTTAATATCCTAATCCTTTTTGGCATAAAAGAAAAATTTATAATTTTGACCCATACAATGTATTGTTGGCTATTGCTACAAATATAAATCAAAAGCGATTGACATGTGCATCTCGCCGGTTCTGTGATCAGCAGTAAATCTCCATCACGTGCTTTCAGATGGAGCAGCGTTTACTACACAGAGCCGTAGTTCACTGACAAGCTATGCAAAACAAATCGCAGACGATATAATCGCGCGATTATGAAATTGAAGATATCGTTCTGCGATTATGAAAGCTGTTTGCATGGCTTGTCAGTGAACTACGGCTCTGTGTAGTAAACGCTGCTCCATCTGAAAGCACGTGAAAACACCACATTTAATAACATGTTTTTACTCTAAACTCATAACATCAGTCGAGTGTTTGAAATAAATCCTTCTGTGAGATGATGTGGCTTCTTACACAGAATAAGGCACGCAACACATTTCATGGCATTCTAAGCAGTGATAAAGACACTGCATTATAAATATGCTTTATTATAATGAGAAGAACTCAGATAAGCCATATATTGTTGTAGTTGTGTGCTTATTAGTCACGTGGAAGCTGTTCTGTTTATCTTCTGTTTATTCAGCAACCGCTATTTCCTGGGTTTCTTCTGCGGGGTGTTTTTAACGTTTCTCTGGCCTTCGGATGGAGATTTACTTCTGATCACAGAACCGTGCAAGATGCGCATGACAATCGCAGCTTTTGCCTAATCGTGATTGCGATTTCATTTCGATTTATCGTGGAGCCCTAACTGATTTTGTGCTCCAGGGTCACATATGGTATTACCGGCATATATGTCTACACACCTGGCACTTGTGCGGCCGTGTGCCCTGGTGCGTCAGCATGTGTGTGTGCAGGTGGCTCAGCTGCTTGAAGGGTTTCCCGCAGAGGTTGCATTCGTGCGGCTTGATGCCGCTGTGGCCCAGGATGTGCGTGATCAGGTTGTATTTGGACGTGTAGGATTTCTCGCACATGCGGCACTTCCAGCGCTTCTGATCACTGCCCACATTCACATAGTAGCTTTCATCCACGTGCACGTTCAGCTTTTCCGGTTTGCTGGCTTCTTGGCTCCTGCGGCGAAACCGTGTGGCTTCGGTGGGGTAGAAGGGGTTTGGAGAGAGATGGAGGAACGGGAATGGGACCAGACTGGGATGGAAAGAAGGAAAGTAGGGAGCAGGAGAGCGCAGGAGTAATGGAGGCGACGGAGGCCACAGTGGCAGAGGCTTCAACGTCTCCTGCTTCACCTGGATCACGCGATGGAGACGCAGCCGGTTCAGGTCGATCATATCTGGGACGAATCGGTGTGGCTGAGGCACGACGGGGCGAGGGAGAGGATAGGGGAGAAGAGAAAGGTCGACGCTTCTGCTGGAGAAGTCCTCTGGACGCTTGCGTTCGCTCTCGGTCGGATCCATGCTGGAGGTTTCTACACGATCAGATCACGGAGTGTGAGAATCGTCCATCACCTGCCTGCGAAAACATGTCGAATGAGTTACTGCATTCATGCATTTAGCAGATGCTTTTATGCAAAGTAATTTGCATTGCATTCATGTTTGATCAGTTCAGGGCCGTAACCACTAGGGCTGTCAAAATGACTGAAAAACTAAATTAGAATTTTCTACTTAAATATGATCAAAATTCTAATTATATTCGAATTTAAAAGGCATAATTTCAGTTAGGGGAAAAAAAGCTTTTGGCTTCTCTCCTGAGGCCACAAGAGGGCGCATCGCGCAAAATATTATGCACGTTTCTTCAAAGCGTAATAAAATAACACGACTATCTTTGAAAAAAAAGTGCATAATGTTTAAAATAATGTTTATAAACCATATATAATTAATAAAGTTGCTTAAACAATTAGAAAAAAAACCCAGCACCATGCATGTATGTATAGTTTAATACAAAGGACCGAAAGACAATCACAAAGAGTAGGCTACTTTCTTCATTTAAAACATGAGATGCAGTGGGATGCGGAAAAACCGCCATAACGTCTTTAGACATGTTTTTAAAAAGTTGAACTTACATTAATTTGACATGGCTTTCTAAACATGCCGCTCTCTTGTGCGAGACGCGAGTGCAACGGTGATAGATGTCCCTCTAGAAAATGTGATAAATATGCGTTCTGTGTGAATGGCTTGGTTTCAGTTTTGACGTAAACAACATCTTCTCCACACTGACGCTCTCGTTTTCCGCAATATACTGAATGAACAACGTAGCAGCGCCGCATCTAGTGGCTTCAACTGGATAGACTAACAAAAGCATTCAAATGCAATGACACTTTCATCGTCATCACATTTCGTGCGCCACTGATAGGCTGCCTGACGGCTGACGCAGACCTAAAATTGTGGATTTTTTTTTTTTAATTCGACGAATATTCGAAATGTTTTTTTGACAGCCCTAGTAACCACCATAGACATTGAGGGGGACAAGTCCCCCCCCCCCAATAATTAGAAATGGCCAATCTGTCCCCCCCCAATATTTGTAACTCTTGCACTGATCTGCTGTACTCCATTATGCAGTGCTCTGTTTTTTAAGATGGCAAAAAGGTTTAAAAGTGACATTTTCAGCCTGGTCTGCCTCAGCGGGCTAACAGCGCTGGTCAATGTCAAATAATTGAGATGGCCAATCAAATCAAAGTAGGTGAGGTTTGCTGTTCACAGAAGCAGAGCGCGACTTCCATCACAAAGCATCAGTTTAACGTTGAAAGAGAGCAAGGTAAGATGGAAGTTGCAAATAATTAAAAATAGAACGATAGAAATGTTGAATGACCGACAGCTATATCTAGTGACGCAATCTACTCAACTTTTGAGAGAGAGAGTGATGAATGTTTCGTGTGTGAACCTGTGAGTCTCTCTCTACAAACAATAAAGCTGTGAGTTTACTTCAAAAACAGCTTTTACCTCCTTGTTGCTGAGAAATATAATGTAGAGATTCAGTATTGAAGCTATTTTATTAATAAAAGTCGTGGGGCAGCGTTGACAGGAAGTTTCTGTGCTCCTGAATGTTTCTTTGTGTGAGTGGTGTGTGTGTTTTTGTGTGTGTCAATTAAAGCAGCGCATGTTTATATATATATATATATATGTCCCCCCCCAATGTTCAAGACATAGTTATGGCCTTGAGTTCATGTATTCCATCAAAACCTTGACCTTGGCGTTGCAAGCGCCACTGCAAAAATTATGTTCTTACTCAAGTGTCTTTGTCTTGTTTTTCAGTACAAATATCTAGACATCCTTAAATCATGATGCATTTACTTAAGTCTTGTTTTCTGAGAAAAATGCTTCAAAAAGTAAATTTATGCTTAAAACAAGAAAAAACGGGGAAATAAATATCACCTTGTTAATAAGATTTTTCTGATTTTAAGCATGAACTCACTTAATTTTCAGATTTTTCAGTTACTTGGATTTTTAAGTACATGCATCTTGGTTTAAGAATGT